GATTGAACTCAGGCCCTTGCACTTGCCAGGCAAGCACTTATTCAACTGAGCTATCTCCCCAGCCCATATATGTGATATTTTAGAAAAATGTTTCAATAATGTTTAAATGAAGGTAGTTGTTTTCAAAATTTTAACTATAATAAATAAAATCTCGATGAGTTATAATGATAGCCATTTCTATAGTTTCTATTGTTTTATTCTTTTCTACTTTAGAATTACTTGTCTGCTATCTAAATCACTGGCTGCTAAACTGGTTTCTGGTGTTATGAACAATTTTGTGTATTTTCAGTCTCCCTATAACTGAAAAAAATAAAAGCCAGTACCATTCTTGTAGTATGGCACTACAATATGCTTTAAGTCAAGCATTATAGAATTTTGTCTTTTGAGCCTGTGGTCCTCCTCCCTTTCCTCATTTGTAAAAAAAAAAAGGATAACTGTGATGACCCCATGTGATTTTCATAAGAATTTGATGATTTAATATTTGTAAAGTGCTTAGAACAGTAACTGGCACATTGTAAATTCTGTAAAAGTGCAATTAAAAATGAGAATTAAAGAAAAGAAAAGAAAATTTCCTACCTCCCTTCTCCTCCCCCTCCCCCTCACTTCTTCTTTGTCTTTTTGAGACAGGGTTTCACTATGCAGGCTCATCTTAAACTCACTTTGTAGCCCAGGCTGGCCTCAAACTTGAAGCTATTCTATCTCAGCCTTTGGAGTTCTGGAATTACAGGTGTGTGCCATTACACCCAGCTCTCAATGTTCTTAAGTCACTTACAAAAACCATTATACCAGGCTGGGGAGACAGCCCTGCAGTACAGTACCTGCCTGGTAAGCTCAAGATCTTGAGTTCAATTTCCAGTACCAAAACAACAGAAAACCCCCACAGACTATTGTACCTACTTCATATTGGACTACAGCAGTGGAGGACCACCTGGGCAACTATCCTTGAAAGAGGAGAAATTGTCCCCAGTTTGGCTGAACCTGACCCTATTTCCATATACACAGCTAGCTAAGACTTTCCAATTGACTTTAAGCAATAAATATCAGTCTAGCCAAGATGCTGGTGGTAGTCTTTGAAAAGAACAGGCATGTTTCCTGGAACCCCCCTCCCCATCTGCTGCTCTGTAGTGTGAGCTAGATGGAGATGAGATGAACAGCCAATGCTCTGTGCTGTTAGCTGGGACTGAGCCTTGAGATAGAGCTATGACTTCCTGGGGCTTGCAAGACTACACATCAGAGCTGAAGCACTAGACCCCGAAACATAAGATACTATCTCAATTGCGTAATACAGATTACTCTCAGCATATCCTTCTCTCTGTGTATCATAGAGGTAAATGCAGGCCTCCTACCTAGCCAGGCTACGGCACTCACTTACTTCCTGCCATTCTCATGGCCACTCATCCTCAAGCCACTCCTTTCTTCATGAATGAATAAACCTTGGGTTAGGCCTTGGGTGGAGGTGTTTGTTCCAGATAGCCATCATCATGTCTGGATTTAGGACCCTTTGGCTCCCTATAACTATAAATATTCCTTAGTGTCTTTATTTTTGTCATGGGTTGCACTGACCATATTCCAATAATTTATCCATGGGATTACAAATATAAACTTCCCAGACAGAGAGGAAGACCAGAAAGGACTCTCTATAATTGAAATCAGTATAAACACTAGTGAACAGTAGAATGGATAAACAAAATTGCGGTAAAGTCATATGAAAGACTACTCAGAAATAAGAAAAAATACTTAATGCATTAAGATGGATGGATCACAAAGAATGTTAAGTAAAAAAAGAAAAAACCTAGAAAAATGATGAGTAGGCAAAACTAACCCATGATAAAAGTAGTGGTTTGCTAGGGTCGGCAAGATAACTCAGCAGACCAAGTGCCTGCTTTGTCAAGTTCAGGGACCAGGGTTCCATCCTCGGCCCTGCCTCTGGGATGCACTGAGATGGTGATTGAGGCTGGGCATTGTGGTGCCTGTAATCCCAGCTCTTGGGAGGCTGAACACAGGCAGATCACTACAGGTCCAATCTATGTACTGAGACCCTGTAGACCCTGTACTAAATACACACAAAAAAAGAAAAAGAAAAAGAAAAAAGAAAATCTCTAATTTCCCTAAGAAGCAGTTTGTAGTTTTTACTGTGAATATTTTTCACATCTTTTGTTGCATTTATTCCTAGATATTGGATTTTTGGTGGTTTTTTGTTTGTTTGTAGGGTGGTCTTTTGAAACAGGTCTCAGTATGTTGGCCATGCAGGCTGAGGAAGGAGGATCGTTGCAAGTTGAAGACCAACCTTGGCTATAAAGTGAGCTCAAGGCCAGCCTGAACTGCATAGTGAGAACCTATCTCAAAATCAAACAATGGGGGCCTGCCCCTTAGCTCAGTTCTTTAATTGGTTGCTTCAACAAAGCAGTCAGGCTTAGATTGCTGTGGTTCCATCCCCACAACTCAAGCCAGCCAAACCTGCTCTGAAGGCATTCAGAGAAAAAAAAAAAATCCTTCAAAATCAAACAAACTGGGCCAGGGAGATGGCTCAGAAGAATAAGCACCTCCCTAACAAGTGCAAGGGCCTGAGTTCAATCCCTGGTTCCAAAAAAAAAAAAAAAAATCAAACAAACTAAAATGTTAAATAAGGTAGAGGAAGCATCAAGGATTGTAGGAGTTCTCAGGAATTGGAAAGGGGCCATGCAAAATGCAACTGTGCAATTGCATACAAACCCAGAGGACAGATTTTATCAAGTCAATTTTTTCTGTCCCTCTCCTTACTCTTCATGTCTACCTCATTCTGTCCTCCTCTCTCCTCTCCTCCTCCTCCCTTTTTTCTTCCCTTTACTTCCTCCTTCTTCCTCTTCTCCTTCCCTTTCCCTGCCCCCTCTCCTCTTCCTCCTCCACCCTCCTCCTCTTTCTTCCTCTGTACTGAACTACACACACACCCATGATCCTGTTTAAATTTGTTTTTATTTTGCAATGTCTTGCTCAGTCACTATATTAGTCAGGATTTTAATAGAGGAACAGATATAACACAAGATGTACAAATGTATAAGAAATTACACGATTGGCTTATGATGGTCAGCCGCAGAGCTGGGTGAGGAAGTGCACAGAGGGGTCTGCACATGGGAGACTTAAGGATTTGGTCAAAGGTCTGGAGCTCACTGTAGTGTTCCGTGCAAGTTCATATCAAGAGGCTGATGGGTCTTCAATGGAAGACTGATGAGTCTATACCAGAAGGCTGAAGGAGCCAAGGTGGATGCCAAGAGTCTGCAATAGAGGCCAGGAGATGGCATCCAAGCTGACAGCAAAGACCGGAGCTCCTCCAAAGAAAAATGGAACCTTCCATCCTTCCTCATTTCCCTTTTATATCCTTTAAGAGATGAGCAACCGTCCTCTATACCTTAGGGTCTAGAATTGCTGAGCTGATTTAGTTAAGCTTCTAAATTTCCCAAGTTGACACAATTGATCAACCACTGCAGTCACCAAACTGTTCAAGCTGGGCTCAAACTTGTGATCCTCCTGCCT